CTAGTGACCTTCTTCCAGCTTCTCTGTAAGGAGAAGCCACAAGAAGAGGCAGTTGGGTCTTTACTCAGGCAGCATCCTGGAGCCAGGTGCTTTGCTGATGTGAAGAACACATTCGGAACAGCTACATGAGTTAGGTCATCTCTTCTTTTCCTTTTCAGCTGCTTGGTTTTGCCTGGTAGCTGGCAGCTTGCTGCTGGAGCTTTATGGAACATTCATCGGGGATAGGTCATTTTTAAGCTATCAGTGGGACGTGGGATATTGAATTTTGCTCTTCCCCCCTGGGCTGGGAACAAATGTTGGCAGAGATGAGTCCTGGATCCTTTCCAGTTACCGTCAGGCACTTGCTGATCGTGTCTGTGTCTCAGCCAAATCTTTGTCCTTTCAGTCATTTGCTTTGGTTTTTCTTAATTATCTGCGAAGGACAGCCTTGGGGGGATGTAAGCGGTTTTATTTACACATGCCCTTTTCACTGCTCTGTCTGTATTGTTACCGGGACTCCCAGCTGGGAGCAGGAAAAGAAGTGTCAGTGTTTAGGGATGTGTGGTGTATCCAGCATATACACTTAAAACATAGGAGAAGAGAGAGCTGTAGCAAGAGAGAGCACACCACCGTTTGAATCCTAGGGACTTCCAGGACTATTTTAAAATGCTTTATAGTGTTTTTGGAAACAAGAGGTCAGCAGCTTGGCCAGAAGCAAGCTAAATACAGACAATACAGACGGGTGCTCCTCAGGCATTACTCTGCTCATGCATCTTGGATCTGGCTTTCAGCACCTGTGCTTTTCCTGCTCTGAACTTCCCTCAGTCCTGTGTCCCCACCTTGGTAATCCACTCAGCTGTGCTGAGCTGTGTCAAACCCTGCCATGGTTCTTTGCTGCTAAAGGAATCGTAGAAAGGGTGAGGTAGAGACATTTTCTATTTAATAAGCCATTTGTGACTTCTTAGAGATGTGTCCCAGGATTTGCAGACTTTCTTGCTTTTCTTCTCTCTTGCTTTGCATTGCAGCCTGCTCCTTCTGTCCGTTTCTTGGACTCGAGGAGAGCTTTTGTTTTATAGCATTTGCTTTAACAAGGGAGTATTGAAAGGCAGGTTTCCAGGCTAGTCAGTATCCTTGACAAGGAAATTCTTGCACTAGCTGGATACAGTTTGTATCATTTGATGGATTTAAAACAAACATAGACTTTTACACACTGCAAAAGGAGCATGAACATCTCTCTGCTGTTCCCAAGCAGAGCACAAAGCTCTCCTGAGCGTTACCTACAGAGCTTAAGCAACTGCTTCCTAGAAAGCACTGTCCCCATGCCAGGCTGGCACTGTACTCAGGTAGTTGTGAAAAGGCAAGGACATGCTGGCCCCATAAAGCGATCTCCAGTCGCTGTTATCAGGAACATACAAGTTGGCAGCAACTGTTCCCATTTGCAGTGAGGAAAGGGGAAACATCAAAGATCATTTCAGGAGATTCTGAATAGTTTTCTTCCCGTGGAGGGAGGTGGGTACGGGGCTTCCCTCCTTGGCACCAAGCAGGCAGGTGAAGTTCTGACAAGCCCTGTCGGTGTTGATGCCAGTTTGCTGTCTGTTGGAAGCAAAGCACATCTGGTGTAACTGGCAGCAAGCCTGTTTGGAAATCCTGCAAGACTTTCACATTTGTAACTGGAAGGGATAGACTTCTCAAAGTTTTGTTGTTCCAGGGAAGGCTATAAGGCATGAACAAATACATGAGGAGTGTCGAGACAGCAGTGATTATGTGCGGGCACAAAAAGTAGAGCACCCCTCCCCATCAGCACCATCAGCGGGGCATGTTTCAGTGCACGTGGGACCAGGCAAAGAGCGTGGATGTCCAGGAGCTGTGTGTTGGGCAAGGGAGCAACCAGGTCAGCCTCATCTGAGTAGAAAAAGCATCACTTGGGCTTTTCTTCTGTCTGACAGGTTTTCCAATGGCATTTTATTTTCTACACCTCATGTTCAGAAGGAAAGTAATGCTGGCTTTTGTGGTTAGTGACACTGTAATTACGGGACAACTGACATCTGAGTGGCTTCCTGAGCCTCTCCTGTCTTGGAATGATCAGGAGGAAGGCAGTGGGGTTTTCCAAGTATTAAGATGCTCTAAGATGACCTGTTTGAAGGCAGTCTTAGCAGAGAGGCTGGGAGATCTGGGTTCTCTCCCCCTTCTGCAGGCATCCTGCATCGTGCAAATTCACTTTCTTGCCCTTTTTCTCCCCTTTTGAGATACGCAGTCTCAGTTGATATGGGAGAGAGCAGGGTGGGGACCATTTACTGGAGAGCCTAATTTACAAAGCAAATGAATAGCACAGCTCTCATGTCTCTCATGTCATGGGGAGACAGCACAGGGCAGCCGCAGGGGCTCCTCACTGCTGGGGTCTGGGATCGTGCCTGGCTCCGTGGAGCACGTGGAAAGGGGTGCACACAGTGGGTGGATTCTCGTGTGTGATTGCAAACCCTGTCCCTGCAGGCAGGGAAGGATTATCTCTGGGAATGTGTCAGGGTGCATGGCAGGGGGCTGTTTGAAACATCAACTTGGTCTGAAACCTGCTGCAGTCAGCAGGATGGTTTCTATGGGCTCTGGGTGCAGACCTCGCTGGATGAGTAGTGAGCACAGGAATAGCTGCTGTGCGTGAGGGGTGATCTCTGAGGAGGGTTTTCCATCATGCAGCCGGCATCACGTGTGCATGACTGGAAACACTCGAGTCTTCCAGGCTCCTCTGTGGCCTTCTCCCAACAGCCAGTGCCTGCTGCCAGAGGGATTTACTCCAGTTACACAGCTCACCCAATTATCTCCCATGTCAGGGAAGAAAACTTGTTCAGTGATGAGAAATCATTACAAATTACAAGCTTTGTGAGTTTGGGACAAATGAAGCCCCTAAACGCTGCCTAGTTGAACGCTCTGTCTGTGCTCTGTGTGATAAATAACAGCTGCCTTTTCCATCGCTAGGAAATGAATCACTGTGGAGGCAAAACCAAAAAGGAGCCTCAGTCCAACTAGGAGACCCGAGAAAGAAGCTGTTGGAGGAGAGAACGCACACTAACTCCACTGGCCTGTAGTCTGTCTTACCCTTCTTACTAACAAATGTCAACAACTAGGTAACGTCCTTCCTCTCTTCTTTCTGACAGTAGCCCAGGACTTGGGGGTTAAGGTGCAGAAACAAGAGTTTTTCATTACTCTGTACATACTGTGTCTCAAAGGATAAGTTGTGATCCATGTAAAGTTTAGTATCTGTTAGTGAAGCCTGGAAAATTGGAATCTCATTCCAGAAACAGACTGTGGCTGAATAAAACCAGGCAGAGAGGATGTGGAGAAAGGGCTGGTTTAGACCATCAAGAGATCTGAGTCAGGGCTGTAAGCTGAGAACAAGGCTTCAAAACTGGGAGCTAGCAGGGAGCATTTTATTTCCTTCCTAAGTTTTGGTGATGGCTTCAGAAAGCAGCAGGTACATTTGTCTTTGGATTGATGGGAAGCTCTGCTCATTGCAGCTGTGAGGGCTTGGAATGGGGAGGAAATAGAAACGTCTGGATTTTGGGAGCTTGCACGTAGCAGGATTGTGACTGTGTCTTGTTTGCAGCTGTCGTGGGGATGGGGGATGTTTCCAATCACATCAGATTTCACTAGGTTTGGGTAAGGAGGGTGGCAATGGCCAGTGCCTTGGGTTTTAACCACAGTCAGATGAAGACCCCAGGCCCTGATGCACCTGGACTGTTGTGTCATGGAAACATTCCTTCCTGCCTCCTGAAACGCTCCAGTTACATCCTGATGCCTGAGATTCAACTCCTTAATTCAGCTCAGATATTACTGGTTACAAAATCCAGGCAGTGCTTGGTTCAGTGCTTTCTTGCAGCAGCTGCACATTGTGTGGTGAAGTGTTTCCTTTAATTCATTGTTAAGTGACTTGCTTTTAATCCTGCGATGTGACCTCTCACTGCAGGATGCGCTTCCCAAGCATGAGTCAAGAGAGGAAGAGCTGTGCTAAGGGGAAGGTGCTTTTTGTGCTCACATCCCAAACACATCTTCCATCCATCCATCCATTTCCCTAGAGTTCCAGCTTGGAGATATCCTATGGAGCACAGATAATACAGCAACCAGAGAAATCATATACCTGGTGGAGCTGCTTTGAACTGACCACTAAGGTGGGGAGGGATGGTGAGAGAAAGCTTCAAGTCAGGCTAAAAATAATATAACCTCTAATCATTAGCATAACTGTGCCACGCTGGCTGTGTGTGAAGAGCCATCAGGTATGTCCCAAAAATGAGATTGTGATGTCCTATTTGTGCTTCTGCTTGCAAGTCTTGTGCCCATCCTTGGGTGAATGTGAATATAAGATCTACTCACCTGAAGGCGTAGTCTGGTATTGTTGGAAAGAGCAGGCTGTGGTCTTTAGAAATGTCTGAAGACTGCAGGGGAGGACAGAGAAGCTCTAGAGGAAGGTAAAAACCTGTACCTGCAGTTAAAGACCCTTGGTTATTGTTTGTTATTGTGCCAAGGGTATTTTCATAGACCAAGGTCACTGGTGTGCAGTGAAAGTTGTCATCATGCTGCTGGATGGTGGGCAGATAGAAGGCATATATAGCCATGGGCTTTTACTTTGCAGGGGCATCAAACAGGCTTTAAAAAAGTCCCAAGGATGTGGAGGGCTCCTGGGGAGAGCACAGAGGAGCCCAGAGGTCCTGAAAAACCAACTCACAGGAGTGATGGAGAACTTGGGTCATGACTGCCCTAATAAGAAGGGACACTGGGCAATACCAGCCCAGTGGGGAGCAGCTACTCCCGGCACAGAGGCTCAGTGAAGGGCTGGTGGTTGGGCAATGCTGCCTCCTTGGGAGCTGCACTGCTGAGCACCTCGTGTCTCAGATCCCTGGAGAGAAGGCGAATAGCAGAAGTGCTGCTGGCGGTGCATAATGCAACACGAGTGCCAGGAAGTCAATGTGCTTCCCCCATTGCTCAGCTTCCCCTCTGCCCTGACAGCCCTCTTCATTTCATTTCTCCTGCAGGGAGCAGCCAATCTTCAGCACCAGGGCCCATGTTTTCCAGATTGACCCTGCCACCAAACGGAACTGGATCCCTGCCAGCAAGCATGCCTTGACTGTCTCCTATTTCTACGATGCCACGCGCAATGTGTACCGGATCATCAGTGTGGGGGGCACCAAGGTAGGGGGCATTTGCTGACAGCATCACACAGTTTGACAGCAAGGTTTTTTCCCAGCCAAATTCTGTTCTGGAGTTGATGTTTTTGGTGTCAAGTTGGTCAGTTCTCAGCATGGGAACATCTTTCCTGCAGGGAATGGAAGGTAAAACATTGCCTCTGTGCTCAAGTGTATTTAGTGTTAGATGCTGGAATCTGTGCTGATGGAAAAATGTGCCCTAGGGTCGATGTCATCCCTCCCTGCCCCACTCTGTCCTCACCCCCTGCCCCTCCAAGCATGCAAAACACGTTTTTTATCCTGTGCTAAAACCAGCCTCTGTAGATGTAATGAAATGACAGACAGAGGTTGAGGGCATCTCAGAGGAAGTCTCCTCAGTCACTTACACAAAACACAATGTACTCTCCCCAAACTGTTCTTGGTAGGCATTTTCCTGACTTGTTCTTGAAGACCTCCAAAGGCAGAGATTCAGCAGCCTTCCCAGGCAGTGTATTTTGTTGCCACCCTAACCAGCAGAGAGTGTTTCGTAACAGCGAGTCCTGGTTGCTGTTTAAGCCTTTTTTTTTTTTCCCCCTCTCTTACTTGCCATGAAAATGGAGAACATCAGAAAGTTGTTAAGTCCCCAGAGACACGCTGTCTTCCCAGCAATGGAGGAAGCTGATGATACTGAAGCTTTTTTTTTTCCTTTTCTTTTTCAGTAGACAAGTTGATTGAGATTTGTTCATGTCACGTAGCCAGACTAGGAAGTTTTTTGGTCACCAAAAGACTGAACTGTTGTCTTACAGACTAAAAGCCAGAGCTTTCTACACCTAGTTCCTGGAGTACACAGGGATTATAGTGATCACTCCCACACTACCACCCCAGGGTAGCAGGCTGGAGTTTCCTCTGACTCTCAAGTATGCCTCTCTCTCTACAGGCCATTATCAACAGCACTATCACCCCCAACATGACCTTCACAAAGACATCTCAGAAATTTGGACAATGGGCAGACAGCCGAGCCAACACAGTGTATGGGTTGGGCTTTGCTTCGGAGCAACACCTCTCCCAGGTAATGCTGCAGGTGCTGGCAGAAACCTGTTGTTAGCAGGGGAAATGTCCCTGAAACCTTGAAGGTTTTCTCCTGATCAGCCTCAGAAGAAAAGGCTTTAGGAGATTGATGTAATACTGTTCTCACTGTGCTAAAATCTAATGCAAGATGCAAAGATGCTAGGGAGAGCTTGAAAGTAATATTTATGGAGTGATTTAAGCATCACAAATTTAATTAGGACTTCAAACTCTATTTCTGTCATTGCTATTTAGCTAACCCCACAGCCCTGAGTGCCAGAATCATGGGCAGGAAAGGGCAATTCCCTGAATTGTATTGTTGAAAAGAAATTAAAAAGCACGTTGAATTAAGTTGCAAAGGGAGGAGTAACCCAGGCATCAATTCTGGTTTGTTCCACATTTCAGTGTAGCGTCAGAATGACTTTTCTGCTCCCCTCTAGTTTGCTGAGAAGTTCCAGGAAGTGAAAGAAGCAGCCCGTTTGGCAAGGGAGAAGTCCCAGGATAAAACAGAGCTGACCAATCCTGCCCTGAATATCACATCTCACCAGGTAACGCTTGGAGAGAGGCATGAGTAGAGCTCACTGCAGAGCGCTGACAGCTGGGGAAAACTGCCACTGTGCTGATCTCCTCCAGTGACTTCTCATTTTCATCCCTTTCTCTCTGAGAGCTTTCTTGCCAGACACTGAGGTTTGGAGCTTCACATTTTGATGATACCTGTGGCCCTGAGGTCACTCTACTGAAACACATGAAGTAGATTGACTAACTGGCTCTTCAGTGGAGCTCCTGGGAAGGTTCACACTCCTCCCTCTTTGCCAGTTAAACTATCAAAACCATTTGATATCTTATAAAGCCATGCTAGAGGTGTAGGGGTTTTTTTGTTTGGTGTTTGTTGTTGTGTTACTTTTTTCCTTAAGAGCTGCTGGCTCTCCCTGTGCTCATTGTGACAATAACAGGCAAGTAGCTTGCAGGAGTGCATGTTGCCTGGTTGAAGATCATAGGAAGGAAAACACATGGCACTTCCAACCATTTTTCTTCCTCTTCTGGGGCTGCAGGAGGTTCTTCTCCAGGTGTCTCTGATAGGTGGTGGTGCTGTCCGTGGGGGTCCACAGAAAGACAAAGTGATTTCTTTGGCCAGGGCTCCTTAGTCACCAGCTCTGACTTCCTGTGTTGCTGTCACATTTCCACCATGGAAGAGAAGCTGTGCTGTGAGAGTAGAAATCACACCCCCCTTGGGAACTCTCCCCTAAGGTAGAACTGCATGCGTGACAGCCAGTCATTCAATTTTCTTTCCCCCAGGAGACCAAGCCAGAAAGTTTAAGCCCATCACAGATCATTCTCACATTGCACTTCCAATTGTTACCTTTCTCCCTGTATGGCTGAACAAACTCCAGCAGCAGTGGGATGGAGGGAAGAGGATAAGCTGTGGAGAACTCTACCCTCCTTTTTCCCATGCTGAAGCAGTTCAGTGCTGATGATGAAGTTGCCCTCCCAAATACTCCAGAGGTGACTCTGCATTTCCCAGAGCTTCTGGCAGTAGGGGAGGAGGTGTAGGATGGAGGACACTGCGTTCTCTGGGTTGAGTACAGATGGAGAGGCAGCAGAGGAGGAGGAGGGAGTGCGAACAGTACCTTGGTCTGCAGGGAAAAGAGGGGGAGGTAGAGGCGGTGGCTCCGCAGAGACTGGAAATGTCATGTAGGGTGAAAAAATGGGGAAAATGTAGCTTTTGGCTCCTGCTAACACTAAGCCACATCCTAATGGATGGCAAATGAAGAAGGGAGTAGAGTAAAGCATTCATAGCAGAACCAAAGTTTTAGGTAAAAGTCTCTGGTCAGTAATAATTGCTCAAGACAGAGATTTGTTTCCAGCTGCAACCTCCATCTCCTAGCTCCTCTGGCCAGGAGAAAAGGCTGGGAGTAGAGTTACTCCCTCTTATCATGTTTACACCAGGCAGAACTCATCAGGTGCCACAACAAGAACACATTCATCTGCCCTGTGCTGTGATGGCAACTTGGAACAGAAGGGATGAGGAGGTCAGAAGGTGAAGGTTAAACACAGATCAGGGAAATGGCCTAAGGCTTTGTTTGTTCTTCTCACCTGACTCAGCAGCACTAAAACTACCACAATGGGAACCCACCTTCACTCTTCCCATTCAGCCTGTCTCCTCTCTTGCTGGGAGAGCTTGGACATAAGTATGCACAGCCCCTACCTGCAGCTATCCAGCAGCCAGCGTGCTGACACAGTGGCACATGCAGTGTCCCCTGCCATGTAGACGTGCAGGTCTTGCTCTGCCTTCCCCAGCCTGTAAATACATCAGCCCATCAGCCCTTCTCCCACTGCTAATTCACAGTCTCTACATTAGTAGAGCTTCAAATATGAGTTTCATCCTTGAATAATTGATTGTGTTTCTGTTTGCAAGTAAGCAGAGAGCAGATCTGTCTCCTGAAATAAAATCAGGGCTCCCTCACTTTCTGCATCTGCACTAGTTTACTTAGGCTTCGGACTTAGAGTTGTGGACATCCCAGGAGAGCAGCTCTCTTCTATCCTTTAGTACCTTTTAGACCAATCCCCATCCCATTTAGCATCCCCATCACAGAGTATGTCACGGTGGAAAACATAAGCAACAAAACAATATGGAGCATCTTCAGCCATTACCAGTTTCAGTTGGACTCACAGAAGCTCAACACACCAGAACAGGAAACTTCTGCCTCTTCCCTGCCTCAGTTTCCCCACCTTGTGGTAAAGGTGAGGCAGGGTTGTGTTTTTTAGGTCTTGCTTCTCAATCACTCTCTGGAAGGCTTCATGAAGCTGGTGTTAATACATCTCATGGCTCTATTTATAGATGTCAGCTGACTCCGAAGGCAGGTGGCTGTCCTTAACCACAGGCATTCGAGGGCTACCTATGAACTCCAGCAGGCTCACCAGCCACCTGGTCTCACAGCCCCCAACTTAGGATCCCAGAGACTCATTCCTCAGAGCCTTTTTATAGCTCAGTTTGCCCTGTCAGTGCCAAGCTTCTTCCCTGCTGTGAGAGGAGACCATGCAGACAGCATTTTCTGGAGGGGCTGGAGGATGTAAAGTCTGCTTTGGCTTCTGCATATTGATCTCTGCTCCACTGTCAGTTCCCTCCAGCCTGGGAGGGTGATTGTTTGTCTCCACTAGCTCTGGTGTATGTGGGAATATGGAGTCATAGAGGAGGGTATCCTTTTGTGCAGGGGCTGTGAGTTTCTTTTCCTGCACCTTTGGAAAGTGGGTGCCACAGTCATCTGAGCAATAGCAGAGTTTCCTTCCCTTGAGCATGAGAAACACTATCCCAACAGCACCTGGTGTCTTAATTCAAGGTACAGAAGCTGGATTTGTGACTGAACCTAGGTGGCCTGGCAGATCTTTCTTTAGTTTATTAAGTCTTTCCGCTGCTCTGAGAACCAACAAGAAAATCCTATTAAGAATTCAGCAAAACCCTGAACCAGTCAGCTTGAGCAGCTCGGGCTGTTGTGCACAGCCACGGGACTTGGGTTCCGGGTTGTAACATCGCTGGCATTTGTCAGGGGCAAGTTGAGGGCCAGAGAATTCAGTACCTCAAACTGGGAGGGAGGAATAGCTGGCGCATGCAAGCTGCGAGCCCACCTGCTAAGGGTGTCTGTGCACTGGGATCGCTGCCCCAGCGTGGCGTGGAGACAGGGAAAGGGAGGACATGGCAGCAGGGCAGCTGCTGGAAGAGCAAAGCACTAACCTACCTATCCAAGAGAAAGCCCTGTGTCTATGTAGCTTCCAAAGTCATTGCTGTACCATGACTGGTGCTGCTGAGCTGTACACCTGGATCTCTGCTACCCCTGGTCATGTAGACAAGCACAGCACTACCTAAGAGTTAGGACTGAAACCCAGGGATTCTCACAAGTGTGCAGGGACTGAGAACTTAGCCCTGTGACCACGGGCTCTGAATGAGCTTGCAGAGACCTTGTGGCCACATGGCCTGTCTTCACTGCTGTGTGATTACCTCTTCCTCATCCCCCAGGTACTTCCCAGCCCCATCATCAGCTCCAATGGCCCAGGAGAAGATAAACTATTCCGGAGCCAAAGTGCTGACGTTGAGATAACAACAGAGAAGGAGCGGCTGAAGAAGATGCTTTCAGAAGGGTAAGGCTGCCACAAGTGCTCTCTGCTCCTGACTCTTAAACTGTCTCTTCTGTCATGATTTGGTGCATGTCCCTGTCATCCCAAGTGCTTTTGACCCAACGCTACTTCTTTAGGTAGCTGAGCAATGCCCCATGACTGCTGCTGCTCAAACCCTCCACTGTCTCAATTTCCCCAGTAGAGAGTTATTCCAGCTTGGAGATGAAATGTGCTGTTCAGGCAGCATGGGAAGGAGAATGCTTTGTGCCCACGGTGGGGATAAGTTGATGCCACTTATCTACAGATCAGTAGTTTGGGATATCAGAAGATGTTCATCTTTTCCAGCTGGCTCAGGGCTGCATTTGTGTTAATTCCCCTGATGATTCCAGCAAAGTGACTGCTGCTTCCGCTTTTTGTCTGTTCAAAAGATGCTGGGCTGGATTCTGCCCTATGGCTCCCAGCTGAACACTTAAGAATATTTTAAAATCAAAAGCAAGTGTCCTTTGCTACCTTCTCTTGAGTCTGGGGTGGTAGGGTTTTATTCAAAGCAAACTTGGATCTAACAAAGACTTTAAAAAGTCCTAGGTTGCAAAACTCCTTTATAGTGGCTGTATCTCCCCTAACCCCCCAACCCCACTGATCTCACAGTGTGGCTTCTGCAGTTTCAAGCAAGCACACATGACCTCAAAGTCAAATATTATCTAGGGATAAAGGAAAGAGATGCACATTCAGGGCTGGAGGAAGCATTTAAATTTGGGAAGTGATATAAAAGCCAAATAGAAAACAGGGAGCTGCCCAGGACTTCCACGAGCATGGTTTCAATCTGTGTTAGCACTGGGGGAACAGATCTTTATGCTGAGACTCTCTTACACTCTCCTGCACACTTCCCCTGTTCTCTCACACAGTTCAGTGAGTGAGGTCCAGTGGGAAGCCGAATTCTTCAGCCTCCAGGACAACAACAACAAGCTTGTGGCTGCTCTCCATGAAGCCAACGCCAACGTGGACCAGTGGAAGAAGCAGCTGGCTGCTTATCAGGAGGAGACGGAAACGCTGCGGCAGCGGGTGAGTGCAGGAGGGACCTTGCAGAGCAGGTCAGAGGAAGCCCTGTCCCAGAGCCAGATGGTGCCCTTGACCTCGTTCTCCCATCGGTTTTCATGGGTGTCAGCAGGAGATGAGAAGGAAATTGAGGATGCTGCATGAGCCTGGCAGGGAAAACATGTCAAGGAATAAGGCCATGTAACTAGGGAGCTCTCACAGGAGCTCCTGTTTTTTGCAGGGTAAGTTGGGGGTGTGCTGAGCTCCTGTGGGTAAAGGGAGGAAACCAGAGCACAAAGTCAAAGAATACCCATTTCCCTTCAGATTTTCTGGGGGGTCATTCCCAGCTGCCAGCAATACTGAGTGAGGTCTGTACGCCCCCTGAACTGGGCATCAGCACAATCTTCTGGCTGCTGACAGGAAGGACGAAGATTGCTCTATCTGCTATAATTAGCTCGAATCCAAGCTGCAACATCATGAAACCCGGGTGGCGCAGGACAAACAAGCCCTTGTTCGGTTGGAATAATAGGATCTTTTGACCTACGTAATATCAGAGAGGTCACAGATCAACTGAGGAGGCCTGTGTGCATCTGGGCAGAGGAGTGACCGTCACACGGTTGGGTTTGTTGGGAGGGAAGAACTCCAGAGTACTTGGGAAAAGGTTTTAGGACAGTCGAGATTTGGCTGGGGAAGAACTCTGGAGCCCTGGAGAAAGCGGCATAAAGCCATTTCACTTCTAGGTTGCTCATTCAAAAGCCAGCAGGGATTTATAGCAATTAACAGCTGTTTCCATTTGATGGTTGTTGTGTGACCAGTCTGCAGTAAACAGCCCTCCCCCAGGATTCACTGTGCCCGTTGCTAATTCTCAGTGCTGGTGTCAGACAGTAACAGAGCTGCACGGAACAAATTTTCTCCTGTGCAGCAGGAGCCTGCCCCAGGTACAGCGGAGATCTTGGTTGTGTGTGTGTGTATGTGTGGATTTGAGGCTGTCTGGGATAAGCTGCCTTTTCCCTGCTGTTGCTCTGCGCATACTCAGCTGTTTGGTGGCTGTTCTCACAGCCAGGAGCCTAGGAGAGAGGATTTCCTGAGCTTTGGATGAAGAGCAACCACTGGGGACTTTTACAGAATCACAGGAGCAACTGTAACTCAGTGAAAAGTCTAGATTCTTGTCCCTAAACCAGAGCATTTTGGGACCAGAGCTCGTTGATTCTGCCCATGACCCTGTGAGCCTGACAATTCACAGCTGCTGTTTACATGGACCCTGGCAGAGGCCCAGTCCAGCCAGTGTTGTCCTGCTGCCCCTGCTCATGGGAAAGTGTCAGGGTCCAAACCCTGTCTATGTGAGAGTCCCCATTACTGGAGCTGCACTTGTAGAGCTCAGCACAGACCGTGTGAGACTTTCTGCTGCAGACCTTCTGATGTGCTTTTAAAAATGAATCATTTTCATGAATAATCTAAACCACCGGGCTGAATTTTTCAGGAATGGGGAGTACACTTGGGCAAACTCTTCCTCCCAGCTCTAGTGTTGTTGAGCTGCAATAACTCCCTTGCCCTGGGCAGTCTTTGCCCAGGGATGTAAATGGAGCTGGATCTAGCCATTGCTGTGGGTTGTAGGCTCATGTGCTTGATGTCTGCCAGTCAGGCTTTGCTGTAAGAGCCAGACTGCAGGAGAAAGCTGAGACAGAGTCTCTAGACAGTTCTGCTGCAGTGTGTTTCTGTGCATGATCTATGCAGAGCAGGAGAGAATTTTTTCCCAACAGCCCCAGGCTGGGAGCTGCTACCCTGTTGTAAGCCTGGTTGGGTTTGCAAGGAAGCCAAAACATAACAGAGAATGACTTTGGGTGATAAGGTGTCAGGACATTCCTATACCTCTGCACACGCCTTCCCTGTGCTTACTTCCATGTAGGTAGCGGAACTGGAGTCACAGGGAGCTCACGATTCCTCCAGTGAGAACAACAAGGAAGAGCTGAGCCAAACCCTGGAGGAGCTGGAAATGCTGATCAAGGCTAAAGACGAGGTAATACCCCACAAAGCAAAGTAAAGCCTGAAGCGGGGTGGCCTGTCAATCAACAACATGCTGTCTGTCATTACAACTTGTATGAGATCATTGTGTAGCTGTTGCACGTGCTGCCTATGCAAGACAGTAGCCTCTGTAAGCCAGCACATCCCCCTCAGTGGTCTCCCTTCCCAGAGAGGCAAAACTGAGTGAGAATAAAGTGCTGGGAGTTTCCCATGCAAATTCCTTGAGTGGAGAGTCTCAGACACTGCACAAATGGCAGGGCCATGTCTTACTCCATCCCCTCTCAGCCATCTGCAGCTGCAGTTAGCCTCTAGTAGTAATTGCTTCTCACTTTCACTGCATTTAAATGAATGATTTAAAGCAGAGTTTTCATTACAGAGGCTGTGAAGCAGGGGAGATGTGGGGAGGATCTCTCTCATTTGCACATCTGCAGGCTCTTTGGTGGCCATACTTTAAAAGGATGGGTGGACAGAGCCTTAGAGTCAGAGCTACAAAGCGAGGACTGGGGAGGGGAGGTGTTTTGGGGTTCCTGATTGTTAGTGAGAAGAGATCTCCCCCACCCTCCCCAGACCTACTCATGCTAAAGGAAAAACTCTGGGGCAAAGGGGTGCAGAGGCTTTCACACAACAGCTGAGCAGATACCCCGGGGTCTGATCGTGAGCAAGGACACACCAGGGTGCAGAGGCCACTGAGCCTTGCTGGCACTCAGGCAGTCATCTTGATTAGGGATTAAGGGCTTAGAGGGAGGCAGCAGGTACAGCAGAAGTAGAAGCTTAGAAAGGGAAGTATTGATATTTGAAGCTGAGTGTGGTTATGTGATCCTTGAAGAGAGGGAAGGAGTCTTGGTTGGGATATGTGGTGGGAGCTGGACCCACTGGGACAGAGGTGGGTCTGACATGATGCTCTTTCTCCTCGTGTTTTAGGAGATTCAGATGCTAAAGAGCCAGAAGTGTGGCCGATGGGAAGCAGATGGTGAGCGTGAGGAGACACTGCAGAAGCTGCAGGTAAGGATGGCAGATCCGAGACAGCTCTGCACTTGGAGTAAAGGGATCCATCTCCATTTCTCCTTTGAGCCAAAGAGTGAATGCCACAAAGCTGCCATGCCTGTCTCTCCCTCTGGATGATGGGAAAAGGTCCTTGCCTGTATCCCTCAGAGATATTACATGGGGCACAGTCACCAGGCAACAGCAAACCCAGCCTTCATACTCTCCTTTAGCACTTGCAGTAGCCCCTGACACAGGACTGGAGCAGGACAGGTGATGTCCTGTGACTCTCCATCTCTCTGAAGTCCTGCTTAGCTTGCTGGATGGGCAGGCATGGCTGGGGAGCAGAGCTCTGACTCAGTCTGGCTGGCAGGAGGGATGCAAGCTGCTCTGCACCTCAGGGCAAGGACACAGATGGAAGCACTGTCTGTTGTGCAGTCTTCTGGGTGCACTGCCTGCCTGTGTTTACCTCTGAGATACTGCACGAGGGGATCTGTTGTGGGGCTCAGCCCCATACACAGGCACTGGCTTTCATGGCAGGATATCTCCAAACATCAAATGTCATCAGACCTGGAGAGGACAGGAAATCTGCATTTAGAGCACCTTTGCAAACTAGGTGGCTGGGTTTGGGGAACGTGTGGTCACACGCCTGTACGTGATGGACCGCTGTGGCTCAAGATGGAGAGGTCCCTCGGTGAAGGAGCTGATGGAGACCTGGGCTGGCTGGGTGTGGGTAGCCTGGTGCTGGGCTGTTTTGGGGAGATAAGGGTTTTCCTCTGTCAGCAGCGGGTATCAGTGCTGGGGCAGCCACCTCACTGCGCTTGTGTCCTTCGGCAGGAGCTGGAGGCACGCAACACTGAGCTGGAGCAGCGCCTTCACCTGGCCGAGCAGACGCTGGCGGAGACCCTAGCTGAGAGGGAGAAGATCCAGAACGAGGTCACCAAGGTGGCAGAGATAATGGATGTGAAGATATTTGAGCTCAGTGAGATCCGTCAAGGACTAGCCAAGCTGGTAGAGAGCAACTGAACAGCAGCACACTCAGAGGAGGCACCTCCAGAGGAGGGGAGCCCGAGCTGGGACAGGTCACTGACAGCAGTTACAGTCACAGAACAGCCTCCAGGTCTGTTTGGGCAGGATACGCCAACATACCAGCAGCTGCCTGGACAGTGTGGAGCCCAGCCGCAGCCACCTACTGCCCACTGAACACCCAGACAGAGGGCAGAGAGGACCTGAGCTCCTCAGTCCTCTACAGGGAGCACCTACACAGACCTCTCTGGACCTTGCCATGGCTGTGGCATGGTCCAGAGACAGCAGCTGTCTCCTTGCTGCCTTCCCAGCCTCCCTGCTGCCACACTGTGTCTCCAGCGTTTTTACAGTTTTCTAGGGGAAGAAGCTGAGCAGCCTTCGCATTTTTTTCAGTAGTTTTTTTAGGAAACCACTTGCCTTTTGCAAATAAGCTGCCTGTTTCCCCACCTAGGGCGGGAGGAGAAGTTCTAGCACGCACACCAAGGATGACAGTTGCTCCTTTTCCTCTTCCCCAGCCCTAACTACGTTGTGTCTTTCCAACAGGATCCAGTAACACTGGTCACTGTCAGCAACTTCCAGAGGTAGCAGAGTCCCCACTGCAGAGAAGGGTGCTCGCTTGACCCTGTGTCCTTTCTGCTGTTCAGTCACATCCACAAGAGGAAAAGGAACTGCAGGTTTTAAAGCTCTTTCTAGTTTAACACAGTGGGATTTAACGACTCCTTTAAGCTGAGAAGAGTAGAGGCTTGATTGGGAAAAGGGGCATTTGAGAAATGGGACATCCCTGAGGGGGTGGCCAACAAACTGCTAGATTGGCATCTCTCCCAGCCTCTAAGGGCTGCAGTTAATTGAAATTAAATGGAGCAAATCACAGTTGCTCTTGGTTTCTTTTTTTTTTTCCTTTTTTTTTTTTGTTGGGAAACAGTCCACAGAGATGTCCTGCTCTGTGTCAGCCGAGCAGTATTCCTTGTGAAGGGGACAGGTCCCAGCTTGCCATGCTTGGCCAGATGAAAGGAGAACAGGAGGCGTTTGGAGCATGCTGGGACCAGTGCCCTGTGGGGCTTGTAGGAAGTTTGTGAGTTACAGTAGATGTTGTCTAGTAATCGGAACTGAGCACAGCCTGAGGGAGGCACCACAGCAACCCGGGAAGTTGTGTCCCCCCGCGGCACCCGCTGTGCCCCCGTAGTTACTTAGGAGCATGCTTAGCCCTGTGCTGAATGACGAAGCAGTGTCTGTGTAGAAGTAGTCAGTAACCTTACGGGAGTGTTGATGGCTTTGGATTTTGTTGTTGATTTTTTTTAGGGTTTTTTTTTTTCCCTCTTTGCTGCTGTAAGTGAGGCAAAGCCAGCAGTCATCCTGGGAACGTCTCAAAGGTCTGCAGAAACTCCAGGACTTAGCAAACACTGGCTGCCAAGTCCTGTCCTCTCCATGCCCAGCAGAAGCTCAGCAGACCCAGGGAAGGCAGTGTGGCTCCTCAGGGACTGCCTCTCCTTCCACTCACCTGGTGACCATGAGAGGAGCCCACAGCTTCCACGCATTGCCTGCAAGTCAGGGCAGGATTGGGTCTGGCTCCTTGGGAATCTGTTGGAGTGGAGAACTCCTGGTGACTCTGTGCTGGATTGTGTCTAGGCAAAGCCCTTCCTTTTCCCAGGGGTGATGAGGAAGCATCGAGATTTCCAGACCTGCTGGTAATTTCCAGCTTTTCTGGTTTGGGGTTGGGATTTTTCCCTTGGTTTTCCCTTTTTTTTTTTCTTTTTTTTTTCTTTTTTTGCATGAAATGTTCTCACAGCTGAATGAGGCTGGAACTACTGTAGTAATATTTGTTTCAGGGTATTTAAGAAGGGAAGGAAGTAACTGAGTGACAAAAGTTTCTAGGGATTTGTTTACCACCCCATGCCAGTGTTCATATTTTATTCCTACAGGAGCAGCCTTCTTTTGAAATAGAGATCAGCTCCAAGAAAGGTGTGTTTGGTTTGCATTTTCGTCACTGTAATATGGAGGGAGGAGGGTGGGATTTGGGAGTATGGGAGAAAGTTGAGCAAAAGTTTCCTATGTTCTGCACTACTACTGTGTCACACTTCTCATCTGTGGCTGCGACCCACAAGGAGGAGCTGAGTATGGATCCCTAAATTCTGGCAGTGACCACTTCATAGCTCTGCGTCTTGACCGGTGCCTTGTTGGATTTCTCACTGGGGGTTGACCAGACCCGTGTGTGCCACACCTGGGTGAGTCAGCTCTCCTGAGGGAAGCCACACTCAGGCTGTTCCCCAGAAGTGTGAGGGAGAACCTGAGTCAAGCTGCTGCACATCCCAGTAGGACTCCCTCTGAGTCAGGGAGAGGCAGATGCAAGCTGCAGCGTGGTGCTCAGCAGCTCTGATGGTTCATGGAGCTCCATGCTGCCTGCCACGCTCCCCAAGACCTGCTCTGACCTGGGTCAGGCAGCAGCGTAGCGTGAGACCCAGCTCTTGTGCTATTTAAGTCTCTTTCTTTTAAGCATTTTATATCCTGAAAGCACAACCTAGCATCACTGGAGTATTCCACCAGACCTACAGCAAAGACAACTGACCCATTGACAGACTAGGTTGAGTGCAAGAAGGTCTACAAGTCATGCAACAAGTCACAAATATAAGGAAATCTGCTGCTAATCTTCCACTGACATCCTGCAGGAAATTCTCCTTGTTTCACACGATGTTCAACCTCTTCATGTCGGGTGGAGAATCAGCCAGGGCCAGACTCTGTTTTAAAAAAAATGCCATGAAAAAACCACCATGTTTTTAAAAGCACAAGGTCCAGGCTGGTGCTTATCCTCATGTCCCAGGTGAGATCTGCACACAAAGTGCCTGTGGAAGTGCTCCCAGCCCCCAGGTCTCTCATGGTTATTATGGTGTCTAAAATCAGCGTTCAGAGTGCTGCTGAGCTCAGACTGTGGGTAGGGTGGCTGGGTACCAACAAGATAGAGGTGCTTTGCAGGGATCTTGAAATAGTGCCTCCTCTGAAGACTCACCAGCCCAATATATGATCTGAGGAGGTGTAACCACCTGGAAATACTGTTTCTGTCTATTGTGGGAAATAATCCACCCAGTCATATTGTGAAGTGCAGATTCCTCCACTGGGCTCTTGTGAAATCGACATTTCTGCAGTAAGAACAAGTGTTGCACTTTCACCAAACTTTCTGAGCAGCCTGTTCATTGTAAATAAACGGTGCTGGAAGTGTCCATGGGAGCTGCCCTGTCCCTGG